CTGGGGCTTGGACTCAGACTGAGAGGAGAGGCTGGGGGTCTGGACTCCTCCTGGGTCTGAGGGAGAAGGGCCTGGAGTGCAGACCTGTGGGTCCTAACATGGGGGTGGTCTGTGGGATGTGACCCCCAGTTTATTGTGCACTCTCCGCAACTCTCAGGCAGAACAGAAGCGTGGTAAGCGGCAGACGGGGCGGGAAATGAAGCTGCGGATTCTCTCTGAGCGTAAGAAGCCTCTAGACATCGACTACATGGGGGAGGAACAGCTCCGGTAGGTGCTCGGTGGGGCTCGGGGCGACAGGGGCCTGGGTATGAGATGGGTGAATAAAGGAGTTTGAACCCAGATCTGGGTGGGCAGATGCTCCGGGTCTGAGCTGCAGTGCTGTGTGACTTTGGGCGAGTGGCTTCCCCTCTCTGGGCCTCTTCGGCGTTCTCTGTGAATTATGTCACTGGTAGAGAACCTACTTTTTGTTGCTGCTGTGACCTGTAGCATCTGGCAGGTGTTAATGGAGAAGCCAAACAAGGTGACTCCCCTCCCTACAATTCAGCAGATTTTGTTAACTTCCTAATGTGCCTGGGAGCTCAGGATGGGCTCTGCCTTTTGAAGCCAGGAATTTGGGTGAGAATTTTCCAGCTAAGTCCCTCACATCTATTGCCAAGATAGCCTGCCTCTCAAGATAAGCCACAGGATGGCAGGCTGATCGGGGGCTTGCCTTCAGGAGCTTGCCTGCATCTCTATGTTCTCCGGCCTGGGCTGTGGCTCAAAATCTCAAAGCCTTCAAGGTCCTCAGGGTGGCGCAGTGACCGGGTTTGCAGCTTGCCCTGAAAGCACCTGCCGGGGACTGAGTGCCAGCTCTGCCAGCTGCTTTGCGATCTTAGGCACGATATCTGACTTCTCTGGGCCTCCCAGAGTGCTGGGATTACAGGTGGCCACATACTCATAATTAGGGTCCAATAATATTTTTGAGGTTCTCAAGTTACCTAAGTTTTCTTTATTAGATAAAAGAAACTAGAGATATAATGAGGGGCTATAAACATTTTAAAATGAAATACACCAAGGGCCAGACACGGTGGCTCACGCCTACAGTCCCAGCACTTTGGAAGGCTGAGGCAGTTGGATCACCTGAGGTCAGGAGTTCAAGAGCAGCCTGACCAATAAGATGAAACCTCGTCTCTACAAAGAATACAGAAATTAGCCGGGCATGGTGGCACGTGCCTGTAATCCCAGCTACTTGGAGGCTGAGACAGGAGAATCGCTTGAACCTGAGAGGTGGAGGTTGCAGTGAGCCGAGATGGCGCCACTGCACTCCAGCCTGGGCAACAAGAGCGAAACTCCATTTCAAAAAAAAGAAGGCTGAGGTGGGAGGATCACTAACCACTACAGCCTGAGAGACTGAAGCTGCAGTGAGCTATGACTGTGTCACTGCATTCCAGCCTGGTGACAAATCGAGACCCTATCTAAAACAAAAGAAACAAACAGAAAAAGAAAAGAAGGAAACCTGAAGGTAGGTTTTAGTCCGGGGTGATACGGCAATTCTGCAAAGTCAGAGACCCAGATTGCTGTTTTTCTCCTCCACTGCTTTTAGCCCAATCTTTCCACCCTCAAAATCACTTATAGTCCGGTATAGTTGCCAGAGCTCCAGCCATCACATTTATGACCCAGGCGGCAGAAATAAGATGCAAGAGAAAAGCCACAGTCTTTTTTGGAAGCCCCACCCAGTGACCTACTTCCGTCACATCAGCCACCCTACCTGCAAGGCAGATTGGGAAAAGTCGTTTTTCAACTCAGCCCACTGCACGAGATTCTATTTCTAGAAGAAAGGGAGAAGGGATAGCAGGTAGGCAACCAGCCACCTCTCCCAGTTTTATTTCCGTATTTTCTAGAGAAGGAAACAGCATTCCGAAGTCAAGTCACTTGACATATTCATAAAGCAGAGAATGGCACCACTGGGATTTGAACCAGGGGTTTCTAACTGCAGAGCCTGGGCTGGCTCTTTGCTTCTCTTCCTTTCCCCTCCCCTCTCCTCTCACCTTCCCTCCCCTGTCTCCTTTCCTGTCCTTTCTTTCATCTTGAGCTGATGCCCAGGCGGAAATGCAGTCATGCAATCACAGCTTACTGCAGCTTCGACCTCCCAAGTAGCCGGGACCACAGGCAAATGCCACCATGCCTGGCTAATTTTTTTTTGGAAGAGATGGTGTCTCTCTATGTTGCCCAGGCTGGTCTTGAACTCGTGGGCTCAAGCAGTCTGCCCACCTCTGCCTCTCAAAGTGCTAGGGTTACAGGTGTGGGCTGCCGAGCGTGGGTTCTTCGTCTTCTAAGAGCCCTTCTCTCCCCTTGGGAAAGGTGAGACCTCTAGCTCGGATATGGAGAAAGTAGATGTTAGAATTCTTGGCTTCAAATATTAACAAAATGATGCCATCAACACTGAACTCACAGACTCGCTGTGTGGCTTTGTGTGGTTCGCACAACCTCTCTGGGCCCAAGTTCCCCTCTGTCCCTGGGCCTCCGGCCTGGCCGGCCTGGCTCCCTGCATCACAGTTCTCCTGTCCTGCCAGGGAGAAAGCCCAGGAGCTGTCGAACTGGATCCACCAGCTGGAGTCTGAGAAGTTCGACCTGATGGCGAAGCTGAAGCAGCAGAAATATGAGGTGGGACCCAGCTCTGCAGGGAGGGAGGGTAGGGCTGGGCTGGGAGGGACCAGCATGTTCCAGGTGGGGTGGGTGGCCCATTCCCACATCCCCTCTGGCCGTCCCAGCATCTGCCTTCTGCCTCCGCAGATCAACGTGCTGTACAACCGCATCAGCCACGCCCAGAAGTTGTGAGTGTAACCCTGTCTGAAGCCCTTGCTCTTGTCCCACTCCCTCCCCGCGCCCCACCCTCCCGCTGACTCTCAGGCCTGTCTTTCCCTCCTTCTGTGGGCTCCATCCCCTGCTCCTCTGGGTTTCTGCTCCTTTCTCTTTGTCCTCCTCTCCCTGCTGTCCTCTCCCTGCTCTCGGAATCCTGGGTCTCAGTCTCTTTCTCTTCTTTTTTTGCGACGGAATCTTGCTCTGTCACCCAAGCTGGAGTGCAGTGGCGCAATCTCAGCTCACTGCAACCTCCACCTCCTGGGTTCAAGCAGTTCTCCTTCCTCAGCCTTCTGAGTAGCTGGGGTTACAGGTGTGTGCCACCACGCCCGGCTAAGTTTTGTATTTGTTTAGTTAGAGACGGGGTTTCCCTGTGTTGGCCAAACTGGTCTCGAACTCCTGACCACAGGTGATCTGCCCGTCTTGGCCTCCCAGAGTGCTGGGATTCCAGGTGTAATCCTGAGCCACCGCGCCCAGCCCCTTTTTCTATGTTCCTCTAAATCCGTGGCAGGGGAGGGGAGGGGAGGAGAGGGGCAGTCTCGTTCCTGGAGGACACTGGGCAGCGTCGGGAGACATTTGGCTCTGCAGCTGGAGAGGGGCCACAGGCACCTGGAATGCAGGGGATTCTGTCAGGATGCTGCTGAGCGTCCTATGATGCCCGACACAGGGCCCCACACAGCAGAGAACGACCTACCTGGCCCAAATGTCCATGGTGCTGAGGTTAAGAGAGTCTTCTCGCCGGGCGCGGTGGCTCAAGCCTGTAATCCCAGCACTTTGGGAGGCCGAGGCGGGTGGATCACGAGGTCAAGAGATCGAGACCATCCTGGTCAACATGGTGAAACCCCGTCTCTACTAAAAATACAAAAAATAGCTGGGCATGGTGGCGCGTGCCTGTAATCCCAGCTACTCAGGAGGCTGAGGCAGGAGAATTGCCTGAACCCAGGAGGCGGAGGTTGCGGTGAGCCAAGATCGCGCCATTGCACTCCAGCCTGGGTAACGAGAGCGAAACTCCGTCCCCCCCCCCAAAAAAAAGAGAGTTTTCTCTGAACCTCTGTTTCTCCAGTGGTCTCTCCCTTCCTTCCTCCTGTCCCTCTCCCTCCTCCTCCTCTCCAGTTTCCTGTCTCTTTCACTCCAGTCCTTCCTGCATGTTACCCACCCCTGCCCTGATCACCCGACCATTCCTCCCCCGACCCTGGCTCCCCCACCCCTGCCCTGATCACCCGACCCTTCCTCCCCCGACCCTGGCTCCCGACTCATATACATTCATCAGCTCCCCTCTCATCATCTCGCGCTCACCCCCAACTACCAGCTCTCACATGTCAGTGAGGCCTTTGGCCAACAGCCACTGCCCCCCAGTCATGGAATCCGAAAGAAATCACAGCTATTTCACTCACTGCTTCCTCTGCGTGGGTGGGGGCTAATATTTTGGGGGACGGGCTTCCTGAATTGACGGCCTGGGGCGAATCTCAGAGACTGGGGCGGCCCCTCCTTCCTGATACCACCTCCTCCTTCTACAGCCGGAAGGGGGCCGGGAAGGGCCGCGTTGGAGGCCGCTGGAAGTGAGGATGCCACTGGGATGGTGGCTCGCCCTGAGGCACCCGGGAAGCCTGGGAGTGTTTCTCCCATGAGTAGCTTGAAATAAACGCTCTCCTCAGACACCTGCTGGGTTCTCTGGTGTTATTATTGTTGATATGCAGCCTGTTTCTTGTGGTTAATTGACTTCTTATTACCAACAGGCCATTTCTTGAAAGAGTGTCACCAGGCCGGGCGTGGCGGCTCACGCCTGTAATCCCAGCACTTTGGGAGACTGAGGCAGGCAGATCGCCTGAGGTTGGGAGTTTGAGACTAGCCTGACCAACATGGAGAAACCCCATCTCTACTAAAAATACAAAATTAGCCAAGTCTGGTGGCATACGCCTGTAGTCTGAGCTACTCGGTAGGCTGAGGCAGGACAATCGCTTGCTTGGACCTGGGAGGCGGAGGTTGTGCTGAGCTGAGATCGCGCCATTGCACTCCAGCCTGGGCGACAGAGTGAGACTCCATCTCAAAAAAAAAAAAAAAAAAAAAAGAATGTCACCAGTAATCATCAAAGATGTCAGACTGAATCTTCACACACTACTGGTGGGAATGGAACATTCCACAGCTTTGCAAGCAGCCTGGTGCTCCTCAACAAGTGAAAACAGTTACCGCAGAACCCAGCAGTCCCCTTCCTACATACATGCCCAAGAAAACCAAGAACCTGTATCCACACAAAAGCTTGTACATCAGGGTTCATAGTAGCATTTTCATGTTTTAATTTCAGAGACAGGGTCTCGCTCTGTCGCCCAGGCTGGAGTGCAGTGGTGTGATCATGGCTTACTGTAGCCTTGACCTCCTGGGCTCAAGTGATCCTCCCACATCAGCCTTGGAAAGTATTGGGATTACAGGCGTGAACCACTGCATGTGGCTGCAGCATTTTTAAAAAATTGTTTTTTTCTTTTGAGACGGAGTCTTGCTCTTGTTGCCCAGGCTGGAGTGCAGTAACATGATCTCGACTCATGGCAGCCTCTGCCTCCTGGGTCCAAGAAGGTCTCCTGCCTCAGTTTCCCAAGTAGCTGAGATTACAGACATCCGCAACCATGCCTGGCTAATTTTGTATTTTTAGTAGAGACAGGGTTTCACCATGTTGTGTTGGCCAGGATGGTCTCGAACTCCTGACCTTGTGATCTGCCCGCCTCGGCCTCCCAAAGTGCTGGGATTACAGGCATGAGACACTTTGACCAGCCTTTTTTTTTGTTTGTTTTTTTTTGAGACAGTCTTGCTCTGTTGCTCAGGTTGGAGTACAGTGGCATGATCTCGGTTTACTGCAACCTCTGCTTCCCGAGTTTAAGAGATTCTTTTGCATCAGCCTCTCAAGTAGCTGAGACTACAAGCACCTGCCACCATGCCCCATTAACTTTTGTATTTTTAGCAGATGTGGGGTTTCACCACATTGGTCAGGGTAGTCTCGAACTCCTGACCTCAGGTGATCTGCCCGCTTCAGCCTCCCAAAGTGCTGGGATTACAGGCTTAAGCCACTGCACCCAGCTTTTTTTTGAGACAGTCTTGCTCTGTCACCCAGGCTGGAGTGCAGTGGTGTGATCTTGGCTCACTGCAACCTCCATCCCTGGGTTCAAGTGATTCTCCTGCCTCAGCCTCCCAAGTAGCTGGAATTACAAGTATGCACCACCATGCCCAGCTAATTTTTGTAGTTTCAGTAGAGATGGGGTTTCACCATGTTGGCCAGGCTGGTCTGAAATTCCTGACCTCAAATGATCTGCCTGCCTCAGCCTCAAAAAGTGCTGGGATTACAGGCGTGAGCCACCACACCTGGCCCACAGCATTTTTCATGACAGTCTTAAGGCAGAAGCAACTTGAATGTTAATTAACTGATGAATGGATAAACATATGTTGGTTCATCCATACGGTGGAATGCTGTTCAGCCATGGAAAGGAATGACATACTGACATGTGCTGTGACATACACGAACCTTGAAAACATACTGAGCCAAAGGAACCAGATAGAAAAGGTCACATATTATATGATTCCATTTATATGAGTTTTCTAGAACAGGAAAATCGATAGAAGCAGGAAGGAGATTCATGTTTTTGGGGGGGCTGGGGAAGGGTGGGTAGAGATGATGGCTAAAGAGAATGGTGTTTGTTGTTTGATGACGAAAGTGTTCTGGAGTCGGATAGTGGTGACAGTTGCACAACCCGTGAATATGCTGAAAAACTCTGAATTGTACTTTAGATGGTACATCTTGTGGTATGTAAAGTATATCTAAATTAAGAAATGCAAAAGCAGGCTGGGCGCGGTGGCTCATGCCTGTAATCCCGGCACTTTGGGAGGCCAAGGAGAGTGGATCACCTGAGGTCGGGAGTTTGTGACCAGCCTGACCAACTTAGGGAAACTCTGTCTCTACTAAATTTACAAACAAACAAACAAAAAAGCTGGGCGTGGTGGCGCCTGTAGTCCCAGCTACTCAGGAAGCTGAGGCAGGATAATCACTTGAACCATGGAGGTTGCAATGAGCCAAGATTGCACCACTGCACTGCAGCCTGGCGACAGAGCAAGACTCTGTCTCTCTCTCTCTCTCTCTCTCTCTCTCTCTCACACACACACACACACACACACACACACACAGAATACTAAAAGCAATTTTAAAAAGTGACTCAAAGTTTCGTGTGGGAGAATCAGCTCAGCGACAAATTAATAACTGTTTGCTGCTCTAGCTTTGTGACTTTCCATTCGGGATGTATATTAGTGACCATGTGGGTGTGGCCACTGGGCCCCAAATCCCAGATAAGATTGTTGCTATGGTTTGAATGTATGTATCCCCCCAAAAGTTATATGTTGAAACCTAATCACAAATGCAATAGTATTAGGTGGTGGGAATTTTAGGAGGTGATGACGTCATGAAGGCAGAGCCCAACAAATCGGGTTAATGTGCTCATAAAAGAGGCTTGAGGGAGCCCCTTGCCCCTTTGCCTGAGTGAGGACACAGCAAGAAGGTACCGTCTGTGAAGCAAAGAGCAGACCCTCACCTGACACTGAAACTTTCTGGTGCCCTGATCTTGGTCTTCTCAGCCTACAGAACTGTGAACAGTACATTTGTATTGTTTGTGAATTACCAGGTCCAAGGTATTCTGTTGCAGCAGCCCAAATGGACCAAGACACAGTTGATTGATTTTTCTTTTCTTTTCTTTTTTCTTTTTTGAGACAAGGTCTCACTCTGAGACCCACGGTGGAGTGCAGTGGTGCAATCACAGCTCACTGCAGCCTCGACTTCCCAGGCTCAAGTGGTCCTCCCACCTCAGCCTCTCAAAGTGCTGGGATAACAGGTGTGAGCCACTTTGCCTGGCTGACAATAGTTGATTTCTTTCACATGTAAAAGTCTGAGTTGGGATGATGGCTCTGTTTTCTAAAGTTGCCTGGGTCCAAGCTCATTCTGCTGTGTAACCACCTTCCTCAGAGGGTTGCCTTTGCTAATGGGGTAAGATAGCTCCCACTCTGTTGCAGAGAGAAGACGGGGTAAAATGGAAGGAGACAGGATTCCTCCTACTCAGTCTCATTTGCAGAAGTTAATTACGTTGTCATAAGAAGTTGCAAGGGATGCTGGGAAATGTAACCATTATTCTGAGTGGCTATGCTAAACCCAGTATAAATTGGAGGCTCCATTATGTTGAGAAAGAAGGGGACAATTAATATTGGGGACAACTCATCTCTGCCACTGAAACCATGCTTCCCTGTCCACTACATTTTATCAAAGGCAGTGTGTCTTGCCATCAGTGGGCTCAAAGCCCTCTTAGAATGCCTGTATCCGTTTGCTTTTGGGGCATAAAAAGTTTCCTCAGGTTAGGCATGGCGGCTCACACCTGCTACCCCAGCACTTTGGGAGGCCAAGGCAGGCGGATCACCTGAGGTCAGGAGTTCGAGTCCAGCCTGGCCAACGTGGCAAAACCCCATCTCTACAAAAATACAAAAATTAGCCAGGCGTGGTGGTGTGTGCTTGTGATCCTAGCTACTCAGGAGGCTGAGGCAGGAGAATTGATTAAACCTTGGAGGCAGAGGTTACAGTGAGCTGAGATTGCACCACTGCGGTCCAGGCTGGGTGACAGAGTGAGATTCCATCTCAAAAATGAAAAAAGAATTGAGGCTTCTGGCCTGGCTTGTTGGCTCACACCTGTAATCCCAGCATTTTGGGAGGCTGAGGTGAGGGTATTGCTTGAGGCCAGGAATTCGAGACCAGCCTGGACAACATAATGAAGCCCCATCCCTACAGGAAAATACAAAAACTTAGCCAGATGTGGTGGCGTGCACCTGTAGTCTTAGCTACTTGGGATACTGAGGTGGGAGCCCAGGAGTTTGAGGCTTCAGTGAGTTATGATCACACCACTGCATTCCAGCCTGGGTGACAGAGCAAAACCCTGTCTCTTACAAAAAAAAAACAGGGAAGTTGAGGTGGGTGGACCACAAGATCAGGAGTTCGAGACCAGCCTGGCCAACATGGTGAAACTCCCTCTACTAATTATACAACAAATTAGCCAGGTGTGGTGGCAGGCACCTGTAATCCCAGCTACTTGGGAGGCTGAGGCAGGAGAATCACTTGAACTTGGGAGGCCGAGTTTGAAGTGAGCCAAAACCACATCACAGCACTCCAGCCTGGGCAACAGAGACAGATTCCATCTCAAAAAAA